GAGATAGCTTAATTCTTTGACAGCTTGATCCGTTGGAGTTTTGGGATTTTTGCAGGCAAAGAGCAGCTTATTTGTTTGACAACTTGATTGCTTGGAGTTCTAGGATATCGTTTACATTTACATGATGAATGGATGATGCTCCACTCTTTTGTTTTTTTTTTTTTTTTTTCAATGAATCAACCTTGTCAGTTATTTTCATATTGTCCATAGCTGTATTATATGCTCTATTCTTCAAGCAAAGAAAAAAAATGTTCAATTAGCTTTCTAATAGGATTTTCATTTTCATTTTCCAGAAATCGCGTATTCAAACATTCCAATGACCTCATATGAGCTTCCTGATGGCCAGTGAGTCCTATTCTTTTGCATCTTTGAATTCCTTAGATCTGGTCTTAATCTTGTTAATTCATGGTGCACTTTGTTAAATGATGACTGCCTAATTTTGCGCATATTGTCTATCATTTAATTAGCCTTGATTTCTGTTTCTTATATAAATGTGTAGTTACTTTATAATCATGCATGATACAGGACAATTGAAATCGGTGCTGATAGATTCAAGATTCCTGACATTCTATTTAACCCATCATTGGCTCAGGTGGATGTCTTCTAAACTACATGATGCCAGCTTGTTACTCTTTTCTTGAATGCTTGAAAATCTCATGGGACATATTTGCATTTAACCATGATCTTGTTATTATTTATTCAATAATTTCATTTAATTGACGCTTCGAAGTTACCAATTTCATCTTTATATGTGAACCTTGTGTGAAGTGAGATATGGCTGTTTCATTCTGAGCAAATTATTATTATGTTTCTGACAAGAAATCTCTAGCAAAGTACAATGGACAATAAGTCCATCATATGCTCCGTCTTTTTTCAGCGTTCTTTACACTTAAGTGCTGACTCAAAGAATATCTCGAATTTGTTTCTGTTGACTGTTTTAGTTTTTAATCAGTAAATTGGTTTTCGTGGAACAGTTCATTTCTTGATTACTAACTTCTTCATGTCTACTGATTGCATGGGTGATATTTTGATATATAAATAAAATATGCTTGTGAAATAGAGCTTGGTCAGTCTCATAATTTGATTAGGCTCCTGGAATTTTTTTTGGATTGGATATTACAATTTAAAAAAAAAAAAAAATTGCTGGACCACATTATACAAGTCAATTGTAAATTGTACTTCATAAGAAAGTTTGATCCCTGATACTATTGTGATATCACTGTTACCAAATGCTTTTCTGTTGAAGTGATTTCTGGATGGATTAGTTGCATAAATATATGTTTTAATTGGTAAAGAATAATATATATTTCATGCGTGTTTTTACCTGTCATAATTTGTTTGCATGAAAATGTCAGACAATTCCTGGTATGGAGCATTTTGCAGAGATTGCTCCCGCTGTTCGTGGTCTTCCACAAATGGTAATTTTTTGCTTTATTTGACAATAAGTGGGTGTATTTCTCTGTTTTTCTTTTTCCCCCTCAATTTTTAATTCATGGTTAACCTCTCTGGTTTGCTCTCCAGGTTATCGAGAGCATTAACAAGTGTGATGTGGACATCCGTCGTGAATTATTTAGTAGCATACTGGTAAAATGCATGCACTCACTTATTTATTTTTCTTTTCAGAGTGTGAAATCACTTATTTTATGCGTGATATCTCTTATGTTTCCCCAAGTAATTGACAAAAATTAGCATAAATTGGTTTACTTTAGACATCTGGATGCAAATAAATATCTTTTGGGACTTACTGAGAGTGTTGCAATTTCTATGGGAATATGCGGACTTCCTGAAAACCTAGTTTGTTACATCTATTAACATCAAAAGTTCCACAGAATTTCTTCACATGCGACTTAGCAGAACATACTTCAGAAATATAATATGGTTTTCCTTCTTTATTTTATACAGCTTGCCGGTGGCACAGCATCAATGCAACAGCTAAAGGAACGCCTTGAGAAAGATATGCTGGAGGTATAGCTTTTAAATGAAACACTACCATGGTCTTGTTTCTCTTTTCCTGTTTCTTATTATTTTTCTTCCAGCCAATGTTCGGTTATTGAATTTGGAATCTATTTGGTATATGGTTTCATTTAGCAGTAACAATTTCACGATCTCAGAATTCACTGTAAGGTTTTAGTACTAAATGTGTTTGTGCCATTACAATTTAGGAGAACTATGATCTTATCGTTGTGTTGTTTAATGTGTTTGTGCCGCAAGCAATAGCAAACATCCTTTTCCCCTTTTCCATCAGTTCATGAAAACATTGGCCGTTGGCTTAATAGTTTGATGTCATTGTTTTATCTACTCCCCTTTTCCAACTGGTTGAGTGTTTATTTGCTTAATTATTTAGAGCTTCATGGGCATTGAATAAAGACATAGTATTTCTAGTATGAATTATTAAAATCCCGTCATTCAATCTGCAGGAGTCTCCTCAAGCTGCTAGAGTCAAAGTATTGGTGGCTGGCAATTCAACAGAAAGGCGATTCAGGTAATATGCATAGCTTCAAGTCCTCTTTTCCTCTGCCCATGCTGGCACAAGATCCTGTACATAAGCAATTTGGCTTCAACTCTGCAACTGTTTGTTAATTTTCTGATTTATTTCATCTAAGGATTTACAATTTCACATCAATGATGCATTAACAGATCAAACGATGTGAAAAATGAATTGTGAAACTCACTAAACTGGTTTCAAGTTTCACCTTATCTAGTTATAGCTTATGTGTTGTTGAATTTAGTGTTTGCAATATACATTCATCCAATTTCTCTTCCCCTGACTTCATGTTGGTGTTTAATTTTGCAGTGTTTGGATAGGCGGAAGTATATTGGCGTCTCTTGGTTCATTCCAGCAAATGTGGTTCTCCAAGGCTGAGTAAGTTTCATGACTTCACCAGTCTTGCTTATCTGTATTAAACGGTCTACATCGTAAATGGTGATTAAGAAATCATGTAAAGTGTTTTATAGTTCCTTCTTGATATTTTGCTTCATATGATTGCGATTGACAGGTACGAGGAGCATGGAGCTTCTTACATACAACGAAAGTGCCCTTGAATATTCTGTTTTCTGATTAGCAAGTAGGAAAGGTTTGTGCTTGATGTCAACTTAATTATTACTTCCGGATTCTTATTTTTTCTCCTAATATAAATTATAAACGCGAAATTACTTTTCTACGTTCAGGTCTCTCTCGTTCTCCATCACGCTAGCCTTTTCCCGAATGATCAAAGCTTCAAAGCCCGTGTTGTCGAAATGGATGGAGGGATGCTTTGTTTTGTATCGATCATCGCTTATCCCGTGTACCGCAATACTTTTCACTGCTATAGCTTGTGTTAATGTCCTTTGATTAGGGTTCAGAGTGTTCATCTAGTTTATACACCAACTTTGCTAGCTCAACTAGTTTTATATGTCAAAGCCATATAACATTTCTAACAGCTTACGTTGCTTCTTACACGACCCTCTTTATTTTTGGCTATCGGATTGATTAAACTAAACAGATTAAATAGGAGTGTGTGAAAGGCTAAAAAAGACGTGTGAAAATCATTTCCCATCGCGGAAATGCATGAATTCGGATACCAGCCAATATTACTTGGGTGCACCCTAGACCGCATTTATCCATCCGAATTACAATTGACAAATTTTTCGTCTTACAAATGTTATAATCGTTGTCATTAACTATGTCGTAGATCACAATTTCAAAATCATCTAATAAAAAAATTAAAAAAAAAAAAATTAAGAATACCGTTTAGCAGCCTATATGCATTTAACAAGTTGATGATTTTGGTTTTAATAGAAATTATCGTAACCATTTATTCCCTTGAATTTGATGAACAATTCAACATGGATGTGTGAAACCATATCCAATTTGATTGACTTAAATGTCTAATTACTTGTCTAAATTACAAGTGACAAGTAATTACAAACCTTGTGCAATAAGCAATCCTAGTTTTACAGTATAATAATGTGGTTCAAATTCGTCTTTGGCGAGAATCAAACCTAAGACATGTCACTCATAAGTGAAAGAAATACCATTAAACCGTAGTACAAAGTGACATTTTTAGTTGTCAATTATCATTGTTCGGCATTTATTCTATCAAATGAAATTCGGAATTATAACTACGTTCGCTTCCTGCGTGAGTATCTCTTTGATCATTGTTTTTAACTTCATTTTCATGTAGGGTGATTTGCCTGTTTTTGATAATTTGAACCAATTGGAGCCGGACTTTAGTGATTGTGATTACTCGGAATTGCTAACAAAGTTGCTCAAGAGCTCACCAAAGCTAGAAAATCTTGTTATCAAACGTCAAGTAAGATTTATTTCCACTGCTGCTACGTGTTTCCCGGTCTGCAGTCTTTCAGGATTCTCGTGTCATTCCTTCTTTTCAATGATTTTTGGTGTACCGAATGTGCTGAAGAATACTCAAACGCCGAGGATGAAGAATTTGATCCACCAGAGGCTGTGCCTATTTGTTTGATGTCACACCTCAAGATCACCACAGTAAACGAATTCAGGGGAAGACCGCATGACAAAGAAGTGGTGACATATTTGTTAAAGAACGGCGAAGTTTTGAATAAGATGAGTGTTTCTACCACGAAGGCTTTTGGGGATCGCCAATGTGCAGAAGAGAATGCGTTGTGGAAGGAAGTTTTGCTGTTTCGAAGGGGTTCAAAGACTTGTCAAGTTGAAATGAAATTTTAGGTTTTGGTATGATTAATTTGCAGTTTGTTTTGTGTCACATATTTTCTCATCAACGTTCTTTTTCTTCTTCTAACTTTGGGGGAATTCGACCATGGATCTACATTGTATATACCATACTCACATTGCCTTGGTTGGCCAATTTTTTGGTTTCGATATTATTGTAGACTTGATTCCTTTTTATTTTTGGTATTTTTGGTTTGATTTTATTTAGCTAAACTTCTGTCCAATGCAAGAGAATAAATGTGCAAAGATCAAAGACAAGCAAGAGAAGCTTTGTACCCGATGCTCTTACCAATTTAAAACATGAGCGCAATTCTTCTTTCTCATGTTTGGATCATCTCTTATGCTCACTAATCACGCTTGTGCTGCTCTCCAATTTCAACTCATTTGGATCAACTCTTAAAATTTCTGTTACTTTCGTTGAATTTTAATCTAATGCCGGCTTTCCTCTGGAGATTTAAAGGCGACATTTGAGAATATATGTGTCGTTAACATGGGAGTCCGATAGTTATACCACGAAATAGAACCATTTTTTGAATCATTTGTACGTGTTTACTTACAACGAGTGAAAACTTTGGGTGACCCAGTTTGAGAGAGAGATCATTAAAGCTTTGACGTTGGGTTTGCAATTTAGTTATCTCGGGGATGTAAGTTCATAATCCTTGCTTGAGATTAATCGTACTGTTGTTGCCTCCCTCATCTTGTAGATTAGTCTTCTGTTATATCAGTATCTCAAAAGTGGAAATGTCCACAGCAGATTTTAATTTCAACGTTGAACTTTTATGGCCAAGTTTTTTGTGATATATGTGCATTAATCATAACTGATGCTTTGCAAGTTCCGAACGGCGAATGCCCGTAATCGTCAAGCTGAAACAAAGAATCGAACACTACCATGTAACATGTCAAGTATCTAGTAAGAGAACGTTACTATTAATTAAGTGTTAACCTACATGTTTATTAATCTCACACACGTACGTTGTCACATTGCAGCAACGATCGAGCCTAATGCGGACGCAGAGTGTTCAAAAAGCTTGGGAAAATCCATCTGAGTTGTGGCTCATTTCAATCTGAGAGACTGATTAACCCTAAAATCTTCAGGCGCTTGAGCAACATTGATTGCCTAGTTAATGATGGCAACCCTATTGCATATGGTGCAACTGTCTCTTTTCAGTATGTCGCACCAAACCGGTTCCCTCTTGATGTTTCCTCCCTCTCTTGCTCAAATTAATGTCTTCAATATGTACTCACACAAAGTAGTAGTGCTACAATGTATGAACTGCAGAAGTGGATAATGAGGAAGATTCGTTTTTATTGGATTTACAAGGCCCTGACTAGGTGCAACTTTTTTTGTTATTAATAAAGTTTCAACTTGTGCCATCGAGTTCTTTAAAAATAAAAGTAAAAAGGGTTATAAGGCCCATTTTCTTATGATAGTTGTTTTAAAATTTCACCTTGTCCGTGCTCTTGTCGCCTATGGTCTCGCAATGAAGGACAAGTTGGGCAAACAATTTGGATCTTCATAAGAAAAAACCAGAAAAGATCTTATTAATTTCCTTGTTGCTGCACAACTGAGGATGGATAATGTTGAACATCATCAACAAAAGAGAATTGCGACAGAGATTGATGTCAATAAATTTTCAAATGTGTTTTGGCTACAAATGAGGAGGAGAGTTTCGTGGGTTGCAAAACGTTCGATGAGTGAAAGAAGTTGTATAAGTCGACCATTTGGGTCAGTGTCCTTATTTTGTTCGACTTTCATTGTCACTGCTTGCTGCGGATGAGCCTTGTTAACAGAACCTGCCTACAAATTATCAGTTGATTTATTGCAATAGAGTAGAATGTAATACACAGACCGGTCTGACTCGGTCCTGTTACTCGGTTTTGAATTTTTCGGTTAATATGTTTTTTTTTTGTATCTTTAATACGGTTTGATTTGGTTTTCAGTTTGGCGGTTTTTATGCCCATCCCTACCTAAAATGTTTGCACCTCGAGCTTTCTTATGAAAACAAAAACTAAAAACCAAGAAGGATGATTTGATAGTCCTATCGGATTCATATTCCTATTCCGATTCCTATTCTTGATAAGAAAATATTTGCATCAAATTCCTGTCCTAACAAGAAATTAATATTCCGATTCCTTTCTTGATAAGAAGATAACATTTGCATCGGATTCCTATTCCTAAGTAAGAAAATGATATCTGCATCGATGGGGTGGTTGAGTTGTATTTAAACGCTTATAGTTTTATTTCCTTTCATTCATTCTCTTCAAGATCCAGTTAATTAATTAATTTTAATTCCAGTTTTAATGGCGGCTCCTCCACCTGTTAATTCTTGTTCGACATCGTCGACCAACTGTTGTTGCTGCTGCAGATCTTCGAAGCTTCGTCCTATTTTTGATCTGCTCTCAAATATACACAATCTTATGCCTATGGAGCTGGACTGCGTCAACTTTTCTGGCTGGAGGTATCGGATCGTCACCATACTGAGAGCTTACAATCTTATAGGCTACGTCGATGGCTCACTCAAATGTCCAGACAAATTCATCGTCCAAGATTCAACGACGGGGGAGGTGCTATGAGATATGGTGCATGGAGGATCAAGCAGTGATGGCGGGGATCAATGCTACACTCTCAGTTTATGACCTCAACAAAGTCATGGATTGCTCTACAGCCAGAGAACTATGGCTTCGACTGTATGAAAGTTTTCATATATAAAATAACTTGCTTGCAGCTTTTCAACCCTAAGTATGTACTTGACAGTTTGGCTGCTGCTCGGTCGATGGCACTGTTTTAAGTATTGCATTAGTTTGCCATCGAGCCGGAGCCTTCAAAGAGGCTTACCATGCTGAGGTTGTCAAGATGCGAGAGAGAAGATAAAAAATAACAAACCTGTATAAGACACTTAAATTTGTACGCCTGTTTATGCCTAAAATGTCTCTACCTAGAGCTTTCTTTCGTAATTCTCAGATATGCAAAAAGTGGATGAGCAACTGAAACAGACATTATCTGTCATGCTTATTTTTCTGTAAGCATTATTTGTGTTGTAGGTTGGACTTTAACCGGAGAGCAGCCAGCAAGATAGCTACCATAAGATGGTTGAGAAATATATTTTCTTTGAAATTATACCACTTCCTGGTCCAACTCCAATCCAAGGTATACAAATAGATACATAAACGAAAGGCGTCAGCTCAAGTGGCCAACAGAGAAAATGAAAAAGCTTACTTGTATCATCTACTTGAGGATTGATTCCAGTCCATTCAAAACCGAATCTTTCAAGGAGGGAGAAACTGGAGTATCTCCGAAGAATACGTCAAACAGAGCAAAAGCCACGTTTTCTGATTCAATTTCAGCATCCACACCAGACGGAAGCCCATCAGATGAGATACAGACCTAAATATCACAATAAATCTCATTTGGTAAGATCGCATGCAAAGAAAAAATTTACATAGAAGTATAACATAACTATGTTGGTTTACGTTTGCAAACCAGCAAGCAACACAAATTAGTATCGGAATGCGTATCAAAGGAAATCCGAGAGAAAAAATTGAGGGAAACATAGAACTCCCAAAAGCCTGCACTAGTTGGCACGCATAAGAAACCAGTAAATTTGTACTTACAAGCATTTTGGAAGGATCTGGCCAAGTCAAAAATATGAAAGTTCCTTTCTTAAGAGGTTGCCCTTGAAAGATGCTACGGAAGGTGGATAGGGCAGATTCATCAACAGGAGTTGGTGATTTGATTCTTGGAGAGATGGCATCATTCAATGCGTCCCAAAAAGTTTTCCCATCAACATCTCTAACCAGAACAATCTGTAATGATTTCACCGAAGGAGCTGCAGTTAGGAAAATTAACGTTAGCAACACGAGTGTGTGTGGCAAGGAAGATGCACAATTTTTATGATTATTACATAGAAAAATGGAGCTGAACAAGGATGAATCCTCTTGAATCTCAGCCGTTGATCTTCCTTTCCAAGCATTCAAACTATTTAAGATGGACTGGTTCGCATATAGTCCTGCAGCATAGACTTTTACGCCAATAATTGCAAAGACCTTTTCCCTGTATCCTGCAACCATAGACAACATTGAAGTTATATGCTACATGCCTCGCCTCAATTTAATTAAAAGCTACTATAATCTCAGAATTTGTATCCAAAGCCAGCAAATGGCAATCTTTATTTTCTTTAGAAAGAATGCATTTTGGTATATATGATATGAAGCAACTGACCAGTTCCAAGCAAGGTCAATGAACTCGAGCAACCCGGCAGACTCAAAGATGTTTGAAATTTCTCTTTGGTAGCAGGCTCCTCGATGTATTCTGCCCTTCCAACTGCAGTTTTGTATATATAGAAAAATACATCAGAATTTGTTATGAATGCAATCAAAGGAGAATATAAAGAATGATTGAAATGGAACAGAATAGTCAATCTTGAATACAAAAACTTAATGAAGTGTCTTCTCGTGATTGCGAATACCACTGATTACAGAATTTTGATTGAACCAGCTAGATCTATTTCTATTACAAGGAGTTTCATGGTAAAAGAAAACGTATAGGCATCCAAATATAACAAAATATATTTTCTTTACTTTCGTTCGTTGTCTCAGTCTTCAATGAAAAAGCAGAACAACAACAACAACAAAAACAACAACAAAGCCTTATCCACCAAGTGGGGTTAGATTTATGAATCTAGAATGCCACTGCGCTTAGTTTTATGCTAAGTCTTCAGTTAGCTCCAAGTACTCTATATTTTTCTTAAAGTCTCTTTCCAAGTCTTACAACTGGAGTTAGGCGTGTCTATAAGGTTAAATCTTAATCAGATTGTCTCCATGTTTTCAAAGTTCTGAAACCAGTATCAAATTCTACAACTTCACCAGGTATTGTTGTTTCATTTGAAGCAATATAATAACAAAATCGACTAAAGTCACTGACTTTCCGAAATCTACTCACTCTCTGACCAGAAATCTGATTGCTTTCCTGTCATCCACATCAATTCAACAACAATAAACCTATCAAAAAATATGACCACATTTACAAGATTTTTACCAGAGCTTTCTGCAGTCACACTATTTATCCCATGGACATTTTTAGATGCATTTCTTCTTGTTCTACATTACTGTTTTGATTTAAACAGAAAGAAAGTAAATTCTCTGCAGATAATTACCATGGCAACTGAAATTTCAAATGAAAATAATATACCAAAACCCTTTTAATTTCACACAGAACAAATTGAAGTTAAAATTCTGCAGATAACTGAAAAAAGAAGTGAGGAAACTGAGTGGGAATATTACCTGAAGTTGAGGAAGCATTCACTGCAAAAGGGGTCCGAGATTTAATGTTCTTCTGAAGGGAGAAGTGAATGGGGGTTTGGCAAATGAGAACATTTGGTTTTGAAATTCCAGTAAGGAATCCAATTCTGGGTTTGGGAATGCAGTTCCTGGTGGGAATGGGAGATTGGAGCCATTTGGGACTGCAAATTGCTTGAGCTTCAAACATGCTTTCAGCCTTTGGATTCTGGAAAACCTGTTTTCGGTTTTCCAATCAAACTGTTTGGTAAGTGAAAAAGATGGGAGTTTTACTGCGCTTGTTTTTACTGCAGTAAATAAAGGAGAACTGTTCCGAAGTCCAGCTCTCTGGGCACTAATAAATGGAGTTTGATTGGTAGGACCGTAAGATGATGATGACACGAGTTGTAAAACCAATCATTAGTCGATCGATCATTTGCTGACTCTATGAGCAAACAAGGAATGGATAATACAATTTCATTAGTTAAAAGCTTACTCATATTATTGGTTAATTAGAATTGGAAACTACGATGATGGTAAACCAATTTCATATAAGTTTGAGGCTGTATTCGTTGCACAACTGAAAGTTTAAATTGTAAATTTGACCAGTTTCATGTGTTTTATGTAGGACTTGATGAATCCCCGACAACGGTTGTCTTTGAAACAAAAATGTTATTCTTACTATATTTTTCATGTCACATTTCTATCATCTTTCTAATAAAAATGAAACTCACATACGTTAATAGATCTTATTTTTATTGAAAATATTATATAAATATGATATAAAAAATGTGGCAAACATATCATTACTAATGTGAACTGTGAAGCCAGCAGTCGGTCGGTCACTCTAATAACTTGGGGTGGAATCCGAGGTGGCTGATGATGTGAGGGAGACGCAAAGTCCCTCTACACGTGGAAGTTGTTCTCAAAAGCTCCAATCTTTGCAACTTTTACAAGAGAATTCCAAGAGGGAATTGGATCCTCTCCTGAGCTCAAGCTCATGATCCTCCTGATCAACATATATGAGCCGTTGGATTCA